TCGCGCCGCCTCAAATGGGCGGCGCGACCCCGCCCATCGCGCCAAACGTCATACACCCAGCCGCCACTATTAGACGCCTCATTGTGGACCTGCTTGTATTCTGCCTATCAGTGTGGCGTCATCGATCGGGCTTCTATCAGCTGGATGGTTAGTGGGTTGCTCGATCAACTGAACGAGTTGTCCAGCTCGCAAACCGCGTCGAATGGGCGGCGCGATGAAAGGGATTGCGCCAAACCACATACATCCCAATACAACGCTCCCGTTTGGATTAATTTCCCGCGCGGGTTGAATGCAACATAGAACGCGCCATCGAGAGACGATTGAGTTCTGCTTGCAGAGAAAGCAAAATGGAAGTGGAGTAAGGCATGCCGAGTTCTATTCATGTAGGAAATAAGAAACATAGAAAATGAGGCATCAAGGCGGTGAGTTGAAGAGGATCCCCTCTGAGACCGTGCGGAATTGCAGTAGCACCGTTGTTGTATTCAAATGTCCGCGCACGATAGAAAAACCCTTGAAATTTCAAACGTGTGGGCTGGGCAGGCGCGACATGTGCGGCGTGATCTGGTTTTATCGACGATAGAATCGGACGTCCCTGGTCGGCGTCCTCCCTCACACTGTCGTGTGAGCCTTTTCAGTCTCTTTTCGGAGACAGTTATTCGACAAATGTTTGCATATCAATAAATAAATAAATAAATAAATAGATATCGAATTACAACTGAGCTGTGTCCATTCGCACCTTTATCTGCTGAGAAACGCTGAGCAGGTGCAGAAGTGCAGAGTGGAAGTCTGTGACTGCTTTATAAACCCCCTTCCCTTTTCTTCCTTGTAATTTTCAAAATTGTTTACCACAAAAGTTGTGGGAGAAGTGACCGCCATCTTTACAGGCCTATGATTGGATACACGGAAATTTCAGTTATTTCAAATTTCCGATACAATTTTAGGTTTCTGTCCTGTCGTTCCGAGGTTTGCTAGAAGTGTTTTCTGTCCGGAACGGAAGAATTGTACTTTTTTGGTTGTTAGTCCAAAGCTGGGAAATACCATGATAGCAGCCGAGTAGTTGTGCATATTTTGAGAGAACATGATTACCACTTTGGGCAACAAAAAGGAAACATTTATTCAATAATATATCGACCAAAAATTTCTCAGGCATCGGATGTTTGATGTCCTTTTGAAAAATGCAATGTTTTATAAGACTTTTATATAAAACCTGCTGCCAAGATGGTAAATAAGTTCTTATCAACTTACGTTCCGGCGTTATCGCCTTCTCCAGAGTTGTAAACCTGAAGATAATCGCTGAAGTGTTCTAGTTGCCATTAAAATTCTAGTGGGACTTTGTGCTGCAAAGGCAAGAGTACCCACACCAACGCTCCTATCTCTCCTATTTATTAGTCAATTTTCGGGGTTTTCTCTTTTTATTTCGCCGATTTAACCATTCTAGTAGCATATTGAACGATGATTCAAGCGCATGAAGGCTGTTCGATGTTTTTTGAAATCCCGTGGCTCTTTGTGTGAAGAGATGTCATTTATGAGATCTTGTCTTGGTAGCCTAAGGTACCCTATCTGGTCGACAAATGGTCTAGATAGGACGTATTAAAGGTTCAGCGACGTACACACTAGAGGGTGGACGAGCTCTCAAGGGGTTGTAGAGTCTGCGGAGGTAGCATTGTTCGCATCGAGACGCACACTTTACGCGCAGGCAGCTTACTGTATCCAGCTGTACGCAATGGCGCACGACTGGACACCCCCTCCAAATACCCCTTCCTCGCAACTTTTCTCGTCGCATTTATATTTCTCTTAATACTCCGATTTTCTCATTTTCTTCTCCACTTTTGCATTGCATTATTCTATGCTGTCACATCCATTATTCGGCCAAAAGTAGATAACCCAAGATTATCGTGAACCGTGCCTCCAAGCATCTTCAACTAATTTTGTTAACGCCTTACTATGCATTGACAGTATTGTCTCAGACATGGCAAAGGGAACATGATTGGAGTGTTCCTAGCGATCATCCGTTCGACCACGTTCCAAATCACTGAAATCCCCTGAATGCCATATCCTCGTTTTACGGTCAACTAGGAGGAAATCCTTTCAAGTAGAATTTGACTTTGACAGTCAAAACTCTCGGTTACTTGGGACTAGGTTCTAGCGGGCCTTCTTATCACTCCATAATAGAATCTGTTCAAGAGAAGCCAACTCTTATAGAAGAAATTTCGAGTGGAGCGGTCTGTATTGCTTCGAAATTTTCTATGAGGGCTAGCAAAAATTGAAATTTGGCTAGCGTCTGCGGCGAATGTAAGCTCGAAAGCGTGTGCTTCTCCACCTGATTCAGGGCAAAATGATCTAATAAATGAAAAAAAAACTAATGAGATGTCTGTGCTAGGCAATGTGAGCGCCAACTCTCTTGGCATATTTTTGCTTTTGAGATATTTCTGGAAATTGGTATCCCAACTGCCAACCTACTCATTTGCCGAGGAAAGTAGCTTTCACAAAAACTCCTTAGATCATTACAGTATCCTTGTGAGCGTGATACGCAAGCAGTGGGTTCGCATATCGCTAGAAGCCTACAACAGTAGCAATGCAACAGCATGAAATGGAACTATGAATGTATCTCCAAGAATCGTTTTCAACAATCAAATATTTTTGTTCCAGGAGCTCTACCGTGCTGAAGAATGTTTGCAGTTGTACGAAGCTCATAATCAACGACTAACGAAGCTTTACGAGAAGTATAAATCCGGAGTATTCAGTAAAATGAAAGGTTAGAAATTCTCTCGTTCTCCAGCAGTGTTCATTGTTGCGACTGCACCAAAGCGTGAAATCTCGGCGTAGCATGGACCTACAATAGCTGGCGCGGTGAGGGTTGGGTATAGGTCGATCTAGACACCACGCTGCTTCCAAGAAGTGGGACCCTGGAACCAGACAGAACAGGCTACGTTGACAGGACTCCTCCCAACTAACACGCCAACTCTATCCCACTGGAAAACTGATCAAAGACGTCAGCTGCACTCTCCTCGTTCCTTACTAATGAGCAACCCATTCTTGGAGGCAGTGGTACGATTATAATTTGACAGAAACGAAAAACAAAAGGGGGGGGGGGGGCAAGAGAGAACAGAGCCGATCAATTGCTGAGTCAGCAGTTCAGGAATGCCGCACACTGATCATTTAGAAATGGCACTGGCCCGCGAAGATGAAGGAATGGTCAACGTCTCACTCCCTTCGGTCACCTTGCTGTTCTCTTTTCATTGTCTTCTTGCTATATGTTCTTTCGAAAGTCATTCTAGGTCCCCAATACCGTCCTACATTCAGTTAAACTTTTCCCGAGCGAGGATGGGAGTCCCGTAAGGCTTGGCTCGAGGCCAGACGATTAACGAACCTCGAGGCGATTAACGACGCTGCGCAACGAGACAACTAGTTAGTTAGTAGTTGAGGTTTTCTCCTACAATTTCCTAACTCGAATGAGTTGTGAGACAAGTTATCAAGTTATACATGCAGTGAATCCGTAACTGGCCTCCTACCTTTTCTTCACACCTGGACAGTGGGCGGTCATTCCTTTGCAGTCTATCCCGCAAAGGAAGCTCGGGGAAAGCGGAGTTCAGTTTATTTGAAAGGGATTGTCGCACCTACCCAGCTATGTTTGAGAGCAGTCGAATAATTTCAGTGGTAAATGAACCTATCAGAGGCAGCTGGAGTGGATGGCTTCCACTGGTTCTCTTCAGCAATGCTAACTGATAAAAAAGATAATGCGGTAAAGAAGGGGAAATGTTCCGGTCTAGTGTCTTTGTTGGCTGGTCTCTGTTAAAGCAATCCTCATTTGCTGCGGTGCTTGCGCTGCTGCTTTCGTTCCTCTTCGGTCAACATTTCGTCGCCTACACATCGACCAGCTCATTCGGAGATAGGAATTTTCCTGGTAATTTTATTTACTATTTTGCGCACTTTTCGAAACTGCTCGATCAGCCCTTTTGAGACTAAGTAGTAGAGTTTTCGTTTTCGAGAGAGAAGCGTTCTCGTCAATGCACCCCATCTCGCAAACTTTTGATTGCACTTGTTTTCAACGGAATTTTCCTGGTGCCCTCATCAGAGAATGATTCTTTCCGTAGTGCTCACATATGTGAAGACTCATTATTTCTAATTTTTCCTGGAAATCGCTTATTTACTGTTTGGGGGCTTATTGTGAATGATGCTTTTTCGTCCTTACTTCTGGTGAGAATAGAAGGAAATATCTCGTCAATTCTTACTTACTAATTCTTTTCACCTAAAGCCACACTTCACGATAATTTTTAGGTGCCTTTTTTTTAAGTCGAAAGGCTATAGGTATGGGGTATTGGTGGTGATTAAAGTGAGAAAATCCGCCGATTTTGTGAAAATAAGGCTCCTCGAAATAAGTGAAAATAAAGGTTGTACGAGACTACTATGGCGGAAACTATTATACATGGAAGGGGTATTTGGACGAGATTTCTTTGTTGCAATTGAGCAAGGAGCTGACTTAAGTTGTTTGAACTTCCTATTGTGTGCCCTTGCGAATGTGCAGCCTATACAGTGCCGTTGAAACTCGACATCACATACACGGGACAATCTTCGAGCATTTGTAACGTCCTACAAGGTCGTTTTCGACCTAACAGCGCCACATATTGTATATGTAGGGGGGCCTCAGATTTATCCTTGTGGGATAACTCTTTAGCCATTTTTAAGGTGAGCTATGCCTTTAATTCCCTTTTTTGGTTTTCACTGCTAGAAAGTTCCGAACAATAGCCACGAACTTAATGAAATCGACAATTGGGCTATCGCCTTTTTTCATTTATTTTTTATCTAAAATACTATGAAACTACATAATATATCAGATTGATCACAGGGAGAGAGGATGTTATCTTTTGGTTCTCGAAGATTTTATGGCATTAGAACTTGATGGTCTACAAACGAGCATGAATTAGTGAACATTGAATGACCTTGCATGCGATTTGATGTGTTCTATTCGCATTTGAGTTTTATGAAGTCATGCGTTTGTCGTGCATCTAACGGGACCCTCGTCAACAATTTTTCCTTCTTCAACAGATTCTTTCGCTTCTGGCTTGTAGACGGAGCTTAGTTTATATCAATTATAAAAGTATAGAGGTTAAATTTTGCGGTAATCAATCCTAACTTAGGGATGCGCCCCCGCATTCGACTTTCGTTTAATTTGGAATCGTAGTGACCTTATACAATGACTTGAGGTAGTCAGCCAGTACGAATTAGTGTTTTATCTTCCCAGACCACTCCGGCACCAGTCAACCGACCTTGGAGGGATGGAATGCTTCTTCGTTGGCCTAGGCGGTTATAGTCCGAGATTCGAACTCGTGACCATGCGTGTGTGATAGCGCAACTTTACCGCCTCCCACATTTCCCTATTATATTTAGAAAAAAGAAATGAAGGAAGGCGATGGAAGTGGAAGCACCCTAGCTTACTGTGTTGTTCCTGTTATAATTGTAGAATGTCTATCTTGAAATGTTCAGAGAAATCATCCAGTATCACTGATCTTCGAGCAGCGTTCACCGGCAAGACAGTTGATCGTGCATCGGCTGCCGTTGAAATGGAATTGCAGAATATGATGGGTCGAATCGTAGTAGATGTCAAAGGTACACAACCAGTACTGTTAAACATCGAAAATCGACGAGTGACGGATGTTTCAGCCATTGTGGGCTTCGCTCGAATAGCGACGGGTGATGTGTTCGAGGTGACTGTGCGACATGGCGATCAAAAATGGCGCACCAAGGGGAGGACACAGCCGGATCGCTCACAGCGTTGGGAAAAGTCACAAGTAATTCTTCAATGCCAACCTGAAGCCCTAATTGAAGTTAAGGTGAGCAGAAAAATAACCTTCCAACTTGCCCTGATTCTCAACTTTCCGTTTTTTTTTTATTTTTTGATTTCGATTTGGTTTCAGCTTTTTGTCTCTTAGGTTGCTGAGGTACGCATGTTCAAGACGAAGCTGTTGTCGGAGCGGTCTTTTGAGCTTTGTGACCTGTTTTCTTCCGAGCCGCAGCTTGTGACTGTGAACCTGAATCAGATAGGAACCATCAAGTTGCAGTTAGTAGTGACATGGATGTGAGTGGCTACATTTGGTGGGATTTTAAGAACTTGAAACTAGAGGCACAGTTCGTCATCACTTTAGGATATCTAGTTTTAGAAGAATAAGCAAGTGATAGAGCAAAGGGTTTTATTTAAGTCCTCTTCTGGCGTCGCACTCCTCATTGAAGCCTCCTTTGTCAACGAATGCCTCGGGTGACTCGAGCACGGAGACTATGGAAAGGAAACCTCGGATTGCTTTGAGAGAGAAAAAACGCGGATCGGCTGCAAGGTATGCTCCTTTTCTACTTATCTTTCATTAACGCCTCGTAATCGATATAAGGATCGGAGCCGAAACTGATTATGTGCGGCTTTCTGCGCGGAAAGCCCTCACTCCAGAGGGAGAAACTTGTGAAAATCCTATTGAGCCTGCAATTCTCTTTGACCTGGCATTGATGTTACCCGCTAAATGAAGCGTAATGTCTACAATAGACGGATGAACGTAGGAACATTCGACTGGGAAAGAAACCGGGCAGTCACATAGTCTACTCGAAGACATCCCCACAGACATGATAAAGGGCTACTGGCAAAAGTACTAGCATGGGCGACGGAAACAAGTATTTTACTTTAGCAAGAGGGAACACTGAGCAGCTTCAATCCTTCAAGGCGTTTATCTGAGTCAGATAGTGTCTTTGCAAGTTTCCAGTAAAACGTATATACCTCAACCACAAGGGAAATGAATCATGAAAAAGTCCTTTGCGTTACCTCACTGCTAGCGATGGCCCTTCTCCTTACCTGAAAGGCTCTACAATTTAATGGGTCGTTCGCAAAGTAAGTCCGATTTCTGAGCGTTACTAAAACGATCTTTTTTCGCTTTTTGCACAAAACTTAATCAATGATGTACCCAAATTTCTGTACCTTTTGCCCTCCTTGTGGTCATTTCATAGCTCGTCCCTCATTTTTCTTTATTTCAAAAAACTTGTTTTTTTTTTTTTGACCAAGAAACTGGGGCACATTAGATTTGATATCTTCATCTTCAGTGAAGGTTTTCATTGAAGGGCTTTGCGACTACCGAAATACTTGGCATTGGCATGGATCGGGGGCTTTGATAATTTTTGTCAAGTCTCCAAAAATGTATGTGAACTATAGCATAGGATTACTACTTTGCGACTCGCTTATTTTGAAGGGCTTCTTCTGCTGCTCCATGAAATTCTAATGAGTATAGGGGTGGTCTTCACTGCTTTGAAGCATTCCAAGCTCGCGGCGTCAAGTATATTTCCCTCAACTCATGTGGCACCTGAAGATCTGGCTTTTCCGTCCGTCAAGGTTTTTCGATATCCTCGTAACTATTCTCATGGATGCGTTAGTCTTTTCAGTATGTTACTAATGGGTTACATCAAGGTGGGCTCCAGTTAACCGGTCAAAAAATCACCCACGCCTACTGATCAGCCCAACTTGAAGTGATGTATTGCTGGAACGGAACTTTATGGCCCAGTATTCACGTGTGCTCTGCAACAAGATATTGTCACCTTATGCTCCACGCAAGTCAACGAAAAAACCAGCATATTTTCAGCTAAATTAAGTAAAGAAAAAGGGAAATGTGCCGACAGTGCTCCATCTACTTTTTGTTCAAACTGATTCTAAAATTACAAATGGGAATGGAATTTGTCCAGTTTTCTCTCAGAAAAGTTCGAGTTCCTAGATGTTAAAAAAAATCAATCAAAATATCAAAAACAAATTCGAAGGCTTCTAAATCGGTTTTAAAACAACCGTTTAAGAAAAATCGTTTTGAAAGATCGAAATTTCTTTCCGAACGCCCTTGTGAACCCGTCCAGTAGGCGATGGGACGCTGAGCTCGTGAGTGAATGTCGTAAATAACTCCTTTTTAAACAAAGTCGGTATTGGTATACTCGATTACTTGGAGCAGTAGACCGAAAAAGTTTCATGTTCTCGAGAGTAATAACCACTGGTGTCAATGACTTGTTTTCCAGAATGGCGATGAAAGAACAATGGCGCTCATCTACGACTTTGCTTGACAGTATCTATCAGGACATCAGCAAAACGATACCAACGGTTGAGGCGGTACGTGGATGAGTTCGTATTTATCAGCGATTCCTCAAATTTTGCATTTTCTATTACCTACAAGACATTAATTACAACCTGACTGGGAAGTCTTTGAAAGGGCAAATGATCAGTAAGAAGGGGCTGTGATATGGAAGATGGAGGTTGACGAACGGAAGCGAGTGAATCTCAAAATGGCACTTCGTTTGTTCACCGGAGAAGAAGGCCTCACCAGGGGAATATTTTTAATGGTAGTACGACTCGCCTCGAACGTCTGGCCTCGTCTCGCCATCAAACTGTCCGCAGAGTTCCGGATTCTCGAAAACTCGTTCGCATCATTTTTTGTAAATTTGGATAATAATATGTAGGGACAATATATCATTTTCATGGTCCCTGTACAGTGACTGACCCAATGGTGAGCTTCATGAGGTTCATGTCTTGAAGTCATTACAGTAGAAATTTCTCAACGCGACTTTAGCGAGCGTCCAGATGGACCCAATTAAAACCTCTGTTTTTGAATGTTTAAATGTTGTTTTCGAGTAGCGATATGATCATCAAGGTGGGCGTAGTTCTGTATTCAGATGTCTACGTTCGATCTTCGCAGCTCCACAGCCTCTTTGAGTCCAGTACGCCAGATGGGTCGGCGCTCGGCTAGTGCAGCTCACCTGATCGCCACACCTTCAGAAAGCCCCGAAAGTGTCAGAGCTTTCAACAAAAGGTTTTTTATTCTAATGTGTAGTGTTATATTGGATAGTTTCTGCCGTCGTTCTTAATGTTTTGCTCTCATTTCAAGCAAATTCATGGTGTTTTTCTGATGATTCGTTACCCTCGTCCTTTATCTGAAGTGAAATTTGAATTGCTCTCATTACGACAGTGTTTGGCAGGATCCTTTTTGCGAATAGCTTTGTTTTTTTTTTGGACCCTTAAAATCATGCTCCACACAATCTGAGCTCGGGACTTTTGATACTTGCATTTGCCCTACTGAAATTTTTTTGGAAATTCTAGTCATTTTCTTTGTTCCTTGAGCTCTTTACTTCAACGCGTTTATGAAAGGGTTGGCATATGAAGTGGTAAACGAGAATTTCCTCGGCAGACATTAAAGCGTTCTTGGTTGAAAAAAGCTATCAAGAATGGGAACGCGAGAAGGACAGAATGTTTATTCCCTAGATCCTCCTAGAACAGGTTTCAGTTGGGGGGACAAGGACAGGGGTGGTGGCCTGATTGTTGCAGTTGTATTCTTCTCTCCGAATTGAAATGCTGGTTTGGGGATGGTATAGGGAGAAAAATGCTCCTGGTGCTCCCTTGCTTGGACGTTTTTTTCAAACACTAAAACCCGAATGTCCTTTGGAGAGGGAGTGACGTCAACCTTTCAATTTTAGGGATTCAGTGAAAGAATTATGGCACAAAACATGGCCTCAGAAGGACGATTCACTTTGCTTTGTGTATTTTCTTCCTAATTAGATAGACGTTTGTCGGTTTTTTGAATATCAATTACCGCAAAACTACGTAACCTCGTGAATCCCATCTCATCGTTCGCTGGAGATATCTGTTGAGATTCGCATTCACTAAAACTTTTTTTCCTGTTACAGTCACTGTATTAATGAATCCAATTTGAAGCCATACCCTTCATAAGATTGTAGTCACAGTTTGCGATCTTCAGGTATGGCAGCTCGACACCCTCAGAGACAAGCAGTGATAAATCGGCTGGTTCTCCCGAGATGCAAGAAGCCGTTGATTCTGTGATACAGAGGCTCGATCGCATGGCGATCGCCGAAGCATCTGGTTTGCAAGAGCTTGTCAAAACTATGAAGCAGTGGCAAAATGTTTTGCGTGTAAGTATTTTCTTCATCGCATTCGTAGACACTTTTTTCCTCATTCACTGAGGCTGCTTTCATAGTCCGCCTGCCGGCCCGCGATCGAGCGCGTTCGCGGTCCGGTCGGCGGACCATGAAAGCAGCCTGAACCCAGAATTTTTCTCCTTGCCGGCGTTAAGTAGAAACACCGCACCTCTCAAACGTGAACGGGCTAGTCCGTAAAGGAATGGCTAGATATCACAGTCTTCTAAGTAATGTTATGCGCAGGCCAGGAGTCCCTAAACAGGCTTAGTTGACGCACTACATTCTCGAAGGCGGACGAGTTCGCATGCGTTGCAGTGGCTGTAGAGGTTGCACAGTTCGTACGGGACGCGGCTTACGGACTACTTGGACTCGATCCCTTCAGTTGTGGCGACCAGCCCTATTTTCTGCCCTCGCCTGCCGCACTCCCGTTTACTCCAATCCTTAACTGCTGTGCTTGCCTGACCAATGTGGCCCACACCACCTTTCCCTCCCCCTCCCCATACGTTTCACCCACGGTACTTTCCTCTGCGCTCTTACTTCTTCCGCTACCTTGAACGCAGAAAGGTTGATGTAGTCACAACCCTGTAGCCTGAGGGTTTTCTTGTTCTCAAGTTGTCTGGCATTTTATCCCCCTGTGCGATTATTGTGCCACTTGTCACTTTTGGACTGCGAAATTTGCTTTGATACAGGGCTTACGGGAAGGTAGGAGTGGGAGAGAGAGGGATAGAAGGGTGATGGAGACTGCAAATGAGGTTTTTGAAAGACTATTTTGAATGTCTGTCAGTGGCATTTCGAGATCTGGTAGGTGTGTAGAAGTAGCTATGGTATTTTACCTAACAAGGTAGTTTTTCTATCAAAATCACTGATTTTTAGCGGTCTCATGCTCGATATGTAACGCGGTCGTCATTATTTCATACTCCGAGCACGGCTAGTGAAGAACTTGACGATAATGTTCTTATGAACAGCGATCTGCAGTGAGTTCTGGTTCATAGAGTTTTTGTTCCACCTTTTATTCAATACATTATGTTTACAATTATCAACTCGTAGTCAACTTTGGCCAAACAGTTATAATCAATGTAAATGGTGGACCTTGTGTAGCAAACTCAGCAACATTCTTGGTCAGTGGGGGCGGTAACTTCTCCCCGGATTCCCACAGCAAGCATCGATGGTTTCGCTGCGACCACCGTATACTTTCAGTGGCATTCAGACTATCGCGCACCTGATTGCGCGCGATAGGATGCGGCGTTTGCGACGCGAACTTCGGCGAGAATTACCCACATCCCCTGTAGTCTAAGCATTGTGCTATGGAATAATACTCAGGAACTGCCTTCTTGTGTTTCCGGCATTGTGAACCTTCCATCTAAGCGGTGATGGCTACAGCATAGGGTGAAAGGAAAAAGTAATTATGGGGGCGGCAGGGGGAAGACGCCGAATTTTGTTGTACTCACTGTTGAACCCTGGTTTTGAAGGAGGTGATCACGTCGAAGCGTTCTGAATTAATAAATTGCTCCACACAGAAAAACTTGCAGGTCTAAAAATATCCTCGTCGTAAAATGCTTTTATTTGGAGCATGTATGATACCCCAGGAGGGTCTGTGATGATGAAGTTATTGTAGGCTTGGACCCGTCGCAGTCGCTTGAATATTAGCTAGCTGGGTCGCCTAGGGCACAGCCCACTTTGCAGTTGTTAGAAGGTTTAGTGCAAAGGATTAGAGGAAAAGTAGATCCGCATTGATCGCTAACATCATTCAGTGGATTGAAGAACTGGAGAGCCACCGCGATCATTTGGATGCGTATTGGTTACCCCTTTCTGTTCCCCTCTTCAGCTCCTGCGACGCATCCGGTATGTGCGTTTGCTGACTCTCGCATCGCAAGTGACGCGGACTATGAACGTTGTCTGACACTGTAGCAATTTTTGTTTTTCTCTGCCAAATCGGCAGATGCTTGCGTTATGGCGCGTTCTACTTGCTAACTTTATATCGTTTATTAGTTCTCCGCTGTGAGCATTTTCTCAATGGCAACCTGTGGAATTTGAGACTTCAACGATCGGACTCCATATGTCGTGCCGAAATTTTGAGTGTTCTGCAGTATTACTCTGAAATTTTCAGCTCCGAAAACGACAGCGGTATTGACTCGCTACGGCAAAATTATTCTCCGTTTGTGAACGACGGCACTCGAAAGAAATTCACTGAAAACGGCGGACGTAAGGATAACAGACGTGTCAAGCAGGTAGTTGTGAATTGTGCTCCTTTTCTTTTCCTGAGCTGCAGTTGATTTATTTGCTCATCTTGTTGTACTGTGCTCTAATTTCGCTACATTATAAAGGAGAGCGACAGTTATCAATAGTGCATGTGGCGGTGTCGGGTTTTATAGCTTCTGATAGGTACAGCTCGGTACTTTGATAGTTTTGCAGGTGAAAGAGCGTCGAAAGTCGCTGGGAGCTGTGTTGGATTCATCAGATTTGGAGCACATATACTTGGAGAGTGATCGCTTTTGGGAAATTGCTGAAGATGACACAAAAGTTACCGCAACTGGAAATCCTGAAATTGACATGTGCTTGCGGTACCACCTCTCTAGAGTGATCAGATGTCTGCAGGTACGATAGGCCTGTATACAGACTCTTTCTCTCTTCTGTTTCGTTCTCATGATCAAGGCGGTGTTGTATCTATAACCATGAATCAGAAATACTCTTTGAAGATTTTGGAGAGCATCGCACCCGATTGCCCACTGGTCTATAAATACAGTGATACATTGAAGAAATTGGAGCTAGAGTCTGTGACATTGGATCGGTTATTACGGCTAACGAAAACGATACCAGCCGTCCCTAATGTTGCCAGCGGTGAGATATCATAGATTTTTGTTCTTTTTTTTTTTAAAGATTGTTCGACGTCGTTTTCAAATGCTGTTGTTACGTACGAGATTTGGAGATTCACTTTTTTACTCCCTCTCGTAATTTTTTCTAGTTCCGGGGACCATTTTTAACGTGCATTTGCGTATTGGTTGAATTGGAACTTGGATCTGTTTGGCTCTTCTTTTCTTTTCCGGCTCTACTGATAGTCTAATTGTTCTTTACAGCTAGTGACGTGATTCGTAATATTTCGAACACTTGCATGGGCACCCTGGTCTCTGTTTATTTCTTCACATTTTTCCCTCCTTAACAACAGAGAACACGCAGAGCAATGCTTGGGCCTGCTACATGGCATATAAACAAGGATTCTACCTGTTTTCGACCCAGTAGGAGCACTCCATCAATACTTGTAGCTAATATACAAAGCTGCTTTATTTTGGTCTTATCATTTCCAGGAACAATGAACATGCGTTTTTTATGTTGGAAGTAGTTTTTCTCACTGTATTACTTTATCGTGAACCCCTCACTTCACGCAGCGCTTCCCATAATCCAGTGAATAATCATTGTTGTGCCACGATTGTTAAGCTTTTCGAGCAGTTGAGAGCCCTTATATGAAATTGGAGGAAGGGATAACCACCCAAAATGCTTTGACCTCATGTTTTGCTAATAAATCTTATTCTTTACGGTAACAATCAAAGCATGTTATTTTCAGTATTATCGGAAATGGATGCGGCTTCGTCATTGCAAGAAATCTGGATGTCTGCCTGTTATCCGCTTCACTCCCAGCTGGTCGTACCGAAGGATGACCTTCGAACTCAAGTGAAGCTCAACATTGCCCACATCGTCGAACAGAACTACCCACACCTTGTGAATAGAGGTGATATTCCTGAGAATGATATTATCCTGTTTCTGAGCAACCAATGAGCGATCGGTTCCTTTCCTTATCCGAGTTATAAATATGTGTATAAACTTGTTTGAAGGAGGGGAACCGTTCAAAAATTTCAATGAAACTCCCGTCGTTGAAGGAGTTGCGTAGTCATGATGAAATATCCTACGATACTTAGATTGTTGAAATCCATTTCAGTTGCTGACTCGATTATAAGGCTGCTGGCCGATTGCGTCCAGGATGATACCAAAATCGTCACCGTTTTTCACTTTGTTGGCATTTTCGAAGGGCGACAATTTGAACCGTACATCGAGAATCTTGGGCATGATGGTAGGTTGGAAACTTTTTTGCTGACTTTCAAGTTTTTTTATGTGCATTGCATAAAGAGCTCTTTCTCGTCGATATGTGATATATTCGCAGTTCACGTCATACCTTTACGCAAAATGGTTTACCCAAGACAATCTTGTGCATCTGCCCCCTTCTTGTTCATTATTGTAGACCACAGTGAAAATTGCCTTTGTCTGTAGTTATATTGCTCTTTTTATACTTAAAGTTTTACTTTCCTTTTCGAAAGTGCTTGCAATTTCGGTTTTCTTTTTCCTCTTCTTTCTCTAAAAGAGAAAGAGACACGATGACCACTGACAGCTCAATTTTTATAGATGTTCGAAAATGTGATATTTTTTCGGTTTAAATTTACTCACTTTTTGGTATGTCACATATAGAAATTATAACAAGCTTGTGATAAACGCTTCAGAATGCGCACATAATGCCCGATTGATTCAACTGGCTGTCTAACAGCTATTCATTCAGTATAAATATGTACCTGGTCCATGTAAATATCATTTTGATTTTATGGTTCCTCTATTCTTTGAGGTTCACTTATACCTCACTTTATTCAGCATGGATGATATCGCTGCTTTCAAGTGGACAAGCCTCACGGATCCTTCAGGTTGCTGATCGTCTTTCTCGTATTCCTATAGTACCTCCTATTGAGAGTCTGAAGCAAATAGGAATGATCTTGGCTGATGGCGAGGAGCAGAACCGAAAGATTTTAGGTTTGCTATTGTTGAATCCCTTTTTGGTTATAAAATGTTTTCTTGCGACGCCTATCGTTCTCTCATTCCATGCTCTAGGAAGTTTCTTTGCTAAACGAATTTCAAATGGTTTTCTCTGTTAGGTCGCGGCAAGAAGCCGAAGACTTTTCGTGACCTGTTAGTACGACTACCAAAACTAGTTAACCATGATTGTGATCTGTTTCACTTAAAATCAGTCGCCAGTGTTTACAAGAAGTGTTTTTGTTTAATATTTCTATGGTGTTTTTACCAAAACTCGGTTAAACATAATCTGTTAGGTTACGTCATGCAGAATATAATAGAGTTGTTATGAGTCAGAGATTGGTGTTTTTAGAGAGGTATCTATTGTCGGCAAGAGGCCAGCTGCTCTCAGATCTTACTTCATCATATTTGTGTCTGTTGGAATCGGACGAAGAGCTTGCACGGCTTGGAGCTCTACGAGCGCTCTCCGTTATTGGCGTGAGTAGTTTTTGTTTGCAAGTTTACAATTTCACTACTTTTTGCCGCTTGCTCTTTACCAGTAGTGTTCCCCTTGAATGTTGCCCTTTTCCTGCTTCCGGACTTTTATTGTTGGGTACGAGAGATTAACCAGCTTTTTGGCGGGGAGATTTCATCATGGGCAGAACTAGTACTTGAAATAGTGGCGTTCCCATGAAGCATGTGGGAATCTTTATGTTGGATTATGACAGCAGTGCATCATATCAGGATAAAACCTATCAGTGTATTGCAGAAGCTACGCAACATCAGACAACTACGTTACATCTTGGAACACGATACGTCTGAGAAAGTGAAACGTGAAGCTGGCCGACTGTTGAAACGACTCGACTCTAAGGATGTGCCTTCTGACGAGCAAATTACTAGGATATGATGTTGTGAAACAAAAATATAGAAGACATCGACAATTATTTGCTCCTTCTAACTGACTTGCTCATTATCCCGACGGAATAGTACTCTTCAAAAGCTATGCTCACTTTTTGCTGTTTCCAGTTAGAATTTATACGCTTATATTTTGATTGTACATTCGACTTGAGGATACTACGTGATTTATGACTAGTTGGATATTTTTTGACGGAATCGCTGTGCCTTTGTCTGTGTAGAGTTTGCTTGTTTCAGTTGCGGGTCGCTCGTAGACACAGCTGAGCACATTTCCTGCTCCTTATATTTGATTTGTTCCACGGTTCTCTAAAAGAGTTTCTATCAAAGAATTGTATGTAGTCTATTCTTTTTTATTGCTTCTACATTATTAGGTCGTCATTCCATTGCTGTTTGATAATGCTAAGCTCATACTAGTTTCTGGAATTCACTCAATTCATGAAAAATTCATAGCTTGTGGTGTTAGAATTACTATGTACTAGTTGAACGCATATTGTCTAAGAGTGCCTGTGATCTCAAATTAGAAATTAAATGGTTACGAAATTGTGTCTCCGGTGCAAAGTATTGGAAACGAGCAGAGACTTAGGCAAGCATTCATGCGGGATTCCCTTAGGCGCTTGCAAGCCTTGAACGTCCACGCCGCAGCCCGGCGGCCTTCACGTTGAGGCATAATACCGAACAGAGCATGTTATGCTTGGAAGATAATGTGCGCCAGAGCAAAGCCCGCCAATGACGCCGCAGAATTAACTCGGCCTGTTCGGTGTCGTCAACGGAAGATGTGCAGCGCTGTCAACCGGTGGCCAGCAACACTAAAGGCTCATTGCTGTGCCCTTTACTGTGAACTTTATGTTGCAGAAATATAATATTCACTATAAATATATAAATATATTCATTGACATCGAACTTAGGATTTGGCTTGAGCGAGGTTAGCGTGGAACTTAGGCTTGAGCTTAGGCTTAGGCTTATCTGAGGTTAGCCTTGAGCTTAGACTTAGGCTTATGAACGAACTCATAATCTTTGCCTCCAAAAGAAATGACCAGCACACTCTGCCGACATCTGCACGATGACGAAGCTCCCCGCCGAAGAACCGAACCTCTCGCCTCGAAAACATGATTTGATTCGCTTTTCCACTGCACCATATTAACAGTCGTTTGTATGGGGGGACGGAACATTCACCCAGAACTGGATGGATGCGGCAAAACGTGCGGCGAAATTCGTGGTGGTTAAAACGTCTCTGGCGCCTATCATTGGGCACAAATGTGAAACTAGATAGATAAGTAGTATCAGCTGGTACTACATATCCAATCTACTAGAAACACTTGCCCCAATGATAGGCGCCAAAGCCATTTTAATCACTACGAATTTCGCCGCGCGGTTTGCCGCGTCCATCCAGTTCTGAGTGAATGTACCCATGCCCGTTTGTATGGGCTTTTTTCTGCACTCATTCGTACGCTTAGGCTTACGCTTGAGCTGAAGTTGGCATCGAGCTTAGGCTTAGGCTTAGGCTTAGCTCTTAGACTTAGGCTCGAGCTGAAGTTGGCATCAAACTTAGGCTTAGGCTTCGGCTTGAGCTGAAGTCGGCATCGAACCTAGGCTTAGGCTTAGGCGTGAGTTGAGGTAGGCATCGAACTTAGGCTTAGGCTTAGGCTTCAGCTTAGGCTTAGGCTTGGGCTTAAGCTGAAGTTGGCATCGAACTTAGGCTTAGGCTTAGGCTTGAGCTGAAGTTGGCATCGAACTTAGGCTTAGGCTTAGGCTTAAGTTTGGGCTTGGGCTTAGGCTTATGAACGAACTCACAAAGTTTGCCTCGAAAAGAATTGACCAGTACGCTTTGCCGACATCTGCACGACGACGACGCTCCTTGCCGAAATGCCGAACCTCTGACCTCGTGAACATGAATCAATTCGCTTGTCCACTGCACCATAT